CGGAACCTCTTCTGGAAATAATCGACGAATTGGCAATAAGTCTCGAAAAAATCTGTATTTATAGGAGTTGCTGTTAATCCCAGTATATTTTTTTATATGATAACAAAAAAAAAATAATATAAAATTAAGCCGACTCTGGCACGTGTAGGTAAATGCTATTATAAAATAACCTAAAATTAAAAATAACCCAATTGGGATTGATTAGTTTTTGTGGCTTTTAATTCATTAATTTTTGTCCAATGTTACGATGTAAACGATTCTGAAAAATTGGATCCATTATTTATGTGATAATTCATAATTAAACTTACCTCTCTTATTTTCAACTCCTATTATTACTCCTATAGATACAGAACTTTCACAAAGCCTTTCAGAACTAGGAATTTAGGAAAATAGCTGTAGTTTAGCTGATAAGTACGTGTGATCTTTAAGATAATACCGGGCGGACTTTTAAGCAACTTTTATTTTTTGCTATTGCGCTTTTTATTATGGAAAAATTTTGTGTTTCGATGCAAGCAATATTTTACGCAAAATTTAGTTGCCTAAATATCATGTTTTTAAAAGTAATGTTTCATTAGTTAGTAACTAAGAATTTGATTTTTTTGTTATTTAAAAATACTTAAAAAGACCTTTCTAATAACACCTATCTCTTTAGTCGATTGCTTCGTTGGTTAAAGCGTCGTGATCTTATGACTGCTGTTACAGTATTTCTTGGGTATTTTTGTGATTTCTCTCCATTTCGGAGACCGTCTCCTCGCACTTTCGATTTTCTGCTGTATCGTTAGTTTTCCTAGAATACTTTATTTCTTTCATTCAGCTAATATGTCCAAAAAACTTGAGAACTCGTGTGATTTCGTATAAGCTCGAATCCAGAACCAGCCTTTATAAAACAATAATATACAATAAGATCGATACATTTTGAATTAAAAAAAAAAACGGAAACCACAACTTGCACTTTGCACTTCTGAGAAACTGGAACCATTTTTTTAATGTGAAAGTTGCTTCTGTTATTTTCGACTCCTATTTTTTCTCCTTTTTTCAAAAATTCTTTCTGAACGAGGATATTCGTCATGAACTCAATATGTCGTCAATTTTTTATAGCTGCAGCTCTGATGGTAAGTATGTGTTATGTTTATTATAATACCCTGCCTACCATTCTGGCATTGATATAGATAGCTTGACAACCCCTGACTGCTATGATGAAAGTTTTGTTACTTACCGCTGATACAGCCAACGGACTTTCCTTAATAAACTTTCATTGTTTGCCATTGATTTCATGTCATATTTCTTTCTTTTTATAGAGTGCAGGTAATAATATATCCATTTATTATTATTTATCCAACAACTTGATTTAACAGAATAGAAAACGACGTAAAATCGATGGAATTTTTTTATTCTGCAAAAATGTTGTTTCGTTTTTAAAACTAATGTTTTAATAGTTCAACTTATACAGGACATTCAGAATACAACATATATAGATCCAACGTATCTATTTAAACTCAGACTGGCACTTCCAATGTTTAAACGGGAAAAACATAACCTTAGAATTGCCGACATAGACTCGTCTCACACTGACTTTTGACAGCATTCAAAATAGCTGCGCCTCTTCTTTAGGACTAGGAATCCAAACCTGAATCACCCAGCTATTGAGTGATCGCCGCTTCGACACTCCTTTCTCGAGTAATCTCTACTCCATCGCAAACAAGAACAGTCCATCCTAAGGACAATAACGTCGTTCCAGATCCGCCTACCGAACCAATTCTCGTCACTTCCAATCCCTGCCGGTGGCCACATTATACCCGACGTTACAGCACCACACCAAGAAATGCCGGTTAAAACTAAACTACAAACTAATTACTATTGGGTAGAATACGGCCTAGTACATCGTTAATAACTACAAATTATATTTTTTATATGGGACACCATGTATATGTTTTATTCTTGAAAAGAACTTAGAATTATCATTCTAAAAATATCCGTCTCTTTAGTTTTGTTTTGTTTTAGTTTGATTATCATCTTTCTTTCACCTCACATGTCCAAAAACTTGGTAATTCGTGTGATTCGTGATGTGTGTGTGAAAAACGGCCTTTATAACACAAAGAATGCACAGCTAGTTTCATAGAAAACTGATCCGGCTTGAAAATTCCACTTTTTTTGACAAAAAAAATCTGTTGTGACGTCCACATTTTGGGTAATAGAAATTAATACGCATATTTTGATGAGTTGAGTGTTATTTAGCACTTTCGTCAACTCATAATTTCAAGAAAAGTGTGTTTTTATTACTAAAAACTCTTGCGTTAATCAGCCTTTACTGTTTGTTTGAACACGAAATTACCGAAAGCAGTAAGCGACATCCTCTGTGACAATATCTTGCAAAACATGTATGTTATGGTCAGTATCAAAATATTCAGTATTTTGTTCAATTTTATTGTTTATTGTTGTTGGTTCTCCTAAGTTTTCCAATAAAGAACCTCTAAACTAAACATACTTAAAAGTAATTAGGTTTTGCTAAATGCAAAATTTAGAAGATGGTTGATCCTTATCAGCATATTTTAACATAAACAGGACAAGAAGAAACAATAGGAAGGGGTCTAATATTTTGTGCAATCTCCATCAGCATCAATCACAGTTTGAACTCTTCGTCTGATGGTCATGAAAGGAGTTATGAAGTTTTCTTCAATCGATAATTCTTCCCATATTTCCCAAATACTTTGCTATAGCCGTTTCACCACTATCCCCCATATGTTTTCGATTGGTTTGATGTCAGGACTTCGCCATGGCGAGGTTTCAATTGTATAACAATGTTTTGCAGTATGGACTCGACAGTTGTAAAGCGGCTCTACACTGAGCACCATAACATTCTGCAATATTTCGGCATAAGTTAAACCAACAAATCTTCTATCAATCCGCATACCATTCCCATTGCTCTGGATGAAATCCATCCCCATGGATTTACACTGAAATGGTCTGGTTGGGGAGTGAGTTCGTTTTTTTTTGCCGCATGACAACGACATAGTTGTCTATAATGCACTGCTCAACATTTTGAAAAGAAAGCACTAAGAGTCCTATCAGTTTTTTAGGAAACTAGCCGTACCTTAAGATACTCAATAAGCGTACATAATGAATTACCTCACACGTAGGGCTTTCTAAACTCTTGGCAATTTGACGAACTTTATAATATTTTTCCTGAGATTTTTTAAATCGAAACATTGCATCTACCGACATTTTTATTAAGGATTCTACAACTATAGACTAAAGTCTAAAGAAAGGAAAGAGGAAAGAGATTGTTGGTCATAAAGGCACAAAGCGGAAAAGCCACCAAATATCAAATTGGCAAAGTGTAGCTGTAGAGATTGAAAACGTCAAGTTTAAAATTCAAATAAAATTATTTAAAGTTTCAAAAATTCTGTAACTTCGTGACCATATAATGAATATATCGGTTCGAATAACCGTTTTATCAGAATAATATGCATATTATAGAAAGTATTCCTTAAAGGAGTGGCAATACTAAAGGAAGTAATACTTGAGCACATTTTAAGGAAAAATGTTCTTATGAATGTATGCAATAAATATCTTAACTTTTGACATCTAGGTATAATTCACCATAATGACTAAATTCCAAAAAAAAATCAAATTAACTTAACGAAAACATTCAACGAATAATGATTTGAAATTGACGTTTATAAACTGTAATTTATTCCAATCTAATTAGATTTTTATTATCAAACATTATCATTCAATGCGGCGAAATTTTTAGTTTAATTGTAATGTAAAACGACACATCTGACAAGTAAAACGTAAAATGTGGCTTTTATGCAGAAATAATTAGGCGATCGAAAGAAAATATTCGCCTGAAAGAAGGTCGGTGGAGTACCATTTTTACAAAATATTCATTAATTAAGACTGCGCACTGTGTAGCATCACACAAAAAAGAGTGTACCATATACATAATGAAGCCTGAGTGAATCCTCTGTGATATAAGAAAGTGCTGTTTCACAGCTATAACCTTTTCGGAAACCGGTGAAATATTATGTACGTTTAAATACCACTCCGGTGCCCTTTCAAGAATCTTTTACACCGTTGGTAGTATACTAATCGATCGCATTTGATTAAAATCAGAGGGATTATTTACTTTAGATAAAGGAAAAACTATAGCCTGCTTCTACAATGTACGCAACAAGAGTGGAACAGCGCACCCGTAATAAGGCTACGTTATTTTAATCAGCCCTCAGAATTTAATTTAATTCGTTTCAGATAATGATTCACATGAATTTCTGTTATCAGTTGAAATGAGAAAAGTTCATAACGATCTAAACTGTCAATCTACTGTTTTCGAAGAAATTGATTATATCTGGATTAAGACGGTGATTATCAGCAGTGGAGAGCTTGAAAGTTGATTAAACTACCTTTATAGCATCTGCGAAAGCACATGTGAAAAGTTAATCCGCTCTACGGATCCGTAGAAGGATCTGCCGGGCTTGTAAACTAATTGAGACAATTTCAATCTGTCAGCTTAAAATAATGTTTAAAAAAATACGAGTAGGTTTTTTTTATAAGTTATTCAATCTCAAACGTGCAACGAAGCAATGCTAGGACCCAACATATTGATATTCCAGAATACATATTGATATGATTTTTCTTTTCTTACAATGTATTCAAGAATTATGCCCATCAGTACCAACACATCATTAAGGAATAACCGGTATAATTCAGTAGAATAGATCTTGTATCTAACATGTATTTTCTGACGACATTTTAATATACTGTCGAAATTTATAGAATTCGGGCAACAAATGATAAAACTCGTCGACCTTGTTTAATTTCAAGAGCGGAGGTGATATAATATACCTGGCAGTTTCTTGAACATATCTTAAAAACGAATTCTTTGACAATAATGAGTCTGCAGTTGAGTCCACGTAAACTAAGTAAACTAAATAGTTTACTTGAAAGTTTGCTTATTGCGGACTATGGCTGGAAATTGAAAGGAAACAAGGAAAAAATCTCATAGGCCTTTTATTAAATTTATCATTTAATACAACGGGTCGGTAATAAATTTAACTTCTTCTAAATCAGAACCGACTTCCCTAAGGATAAGTTTCTTATGATTTTCGTCGGGTCCCACGACTAAATTTTTGTCACACGAAGAAGCCATCGTGTCGTTAGGAGACTCATCGTCAATGAAAAACAGTTGCTCAACTGCATCTTTTTTTACTTCTCCCAGGGCGATGTCTTTGTTACCACATCCTCCTTTGACTTCTAAGTATTTTCTAACAGAAAGAAAACGAAATTAGTGACGGCTAGCCTATACATTTTACCCACGGCTTACCCCGCCTTGCTTACGATTTTCACGATATTCTCACTGCGGGGGCCATATTGGTCGAAAGTGAAAGTGGTGGCTTGATCTTTATTCTTCACTAGATTTGCGTCTTTATCCAGGTATAACTTAGACTTAACCAGTTGGAGGTACACGTTATCCGTCTTGACGCCTTTTCAAAAATTAAGATTTGGACATTATCGACAAATACAAGTTGATCCCTAAGATCATAAAAATTGGTTGTTTTCCAAATTCTTATATTTCAAAGGTGCTCTTAAGTTTATTAAAAACACTATAGGAATGTCACCATTTGGTACCTATTCCTAGACATACGAGGAAACACGGCCTTATAAATGATGCATTTAAACTGAAACCTTTGGAATTGACGGAGCATCAGCGGCCATATTGATTGTTGGACGCAACTTCATTATCACGAGCAGTTATTTCATTATTTCATAGAATTACAGGGTGTTAAATCGTGCTGATATGTATACCTAGGTCTCGTTAAATGTTCTGGGAAAGTATATTATGCAGCAAGTTTGATATACTGTCACGAGTGCTTAATAGACGCGTGACTTAAGAAGTTTATGCATACGTGTTGCATACTATACTTTTTCTATGACCATTAGTTTTAGGGTAAATTTTTGCAACACAGCACTAATACATTCACTGAGTGACGTGTGACATGACCGTCAAAATTCAAGCCCTGGGTAACATCTCCGCTCCCAAACCTTATATATTCCTTAAATGTTCGAAGTGGCTCGTAGCCATAGATGATGAAACTGGTTACTTTAGAAAAGGGACAAAAAATGTTGTTAGTCAACTTTATTAACAGATTTACTTCTAAAATTTGGGGCTTCTATTTCAAAAGCATTATTTCATTCAAGGTTCTATTTTTTGAGCACCATTTATACAAATATTATATAAGTATTTCAAAATTAATGTTACCATTTTAATCACAGTTTTTTTTTGGAAAGTTTATGAGTTTTTGGGCAATGGTGTGATAAATGCGGCGGCATACAGAGCCAAAGTTTCACAAACGCATGAAGTGACATACAACAGTGTTTAATAATGAAGCCTACATCTTAAACTTAGAGTTTGCACACGCCTAATAATTGGTTCCTTTTGTAGTAGGGAGGGGAGGAACTATACAGTGTCACCACTAAGGTCCGTGAATATTTCCTATTAATTAATTAATTTAAGTCGACCTCTCTGTCATTAATAGTTCCGTCAAAGCCCAGTAATAAAAGTAAAAATTTGCAGTTGTAGTTATTTTAGCAAATATTGGGCAAATAAAATTGAAAATGTTAAAAATCAAGTTATAGAAGAAAACAAAATTAAAAATTTTTAGTCAGATTTGACCCTGCATCATTTGCAAACTTTTGTAAATTTTCAATGGGGGCTTTCTGAATGCTGAATGTATACCACAAGATAACTTGACGAAACTATGAGCAGTATTAAAAATGAGAACTTCTTAAACAGATTTGGTCTATAAGACACACGATAGCGGCATTTTATTTAATTCCAACAGAAAGTTAATGTGCCGAAATTATTTGTATGGTTTAAACTTATACCAAAATTATGGGCCTAAACGGTACTTACTGCAACAGAAACACCATAACGCAGCAGCTGCAAGAAGTGCCAAAATGCATCGAGCGCCAGTCATTTTTCAGTAACGATCAGCGGGATAAAGAAAACGATTGTGTAATACAATCCTACCGCACGGTCATATTTTTATAGGTCCCACATGCTTTATTACCATCTAATTTCGTCCTAATTAGCCCCTTTTTCCGTCAGATAAGAGTTTTTTAATTTAACGCAAACTTTTCTGTAAATTAAAACAATAACTAGCACCCATTAAAGCCGGCAGCAATTTACAAGAATTTTAGAAAAATTGCAAATGACAGAGCGGCGTACTACAAGCACCTCCCCAAAAATAAAATCATCGACATCCTATCCGGTTGGTACTAAAAAAGTTACATTTTTCTGTAATTGACAACGAAAGATAAATTTCCGTGTATCCTTAGCTTCTCCCAAAATGACATGATGACATGCTTTTCTAATTGGGATCCTTAGTTGGGATAATGCAAACAAATTTAAAATAGGCTATATGATAATCCTGATGAAAAAGAAAAGTGTTGGCTAGCTAGGAAGCTATTGAGCTATCCAAACGAAACAGCAGCATAACAATACCTGACTATGTCCATGGAAAACTAAGTATGGCCAGACATATTCTTACGAGTCAGTGTTTACTTAACAAACTCCAATTCAGATTGGATTTGAGTAACACCCCTCCGTGCAGGGAGTGCAAATAAGAAGACGAGATAGTAGAGCACATCTCTCGTTTCTCTCATCTCATCTCATTTGGGAGCTTTGATGGGCTACATGGACTCACTAAGCTTGTTGTATGGCGCAGTGTTCTGTTCAGGAAGATGGACAACGTGCCTGCTGAGTCCTAAGTACCGTAGTATAGGCTCCACTTACAGATACAGATGATCGGAAATCAGTCACCCAGCTGAGACACGAATAGTTTCTCGTTTTGTAAAAATAATTCAAATGGAAAGGGTCCTTTTTGCGAAGGCAAGATTCATGCCACCATCATTATTCTCCAGATCGCAAGGTTTCTTCTTTTTGAAATTAATAAATTAGAACGAGCTCCTAGAAATTTTATTAGGTTATTGTGTGACTGCACTGCTTGTGTGGTATGCCAAGTAAATCATAAATGTAATATAATTGCAAATCATATAGCTAGGAGACATACAGAGCGTTATTTAATAAGTGTGTTATATTTCACTTATTTTTTAGGTGAGAAGTGCTACATGTTTAGGTGTGGGTTTAAAAAAAGTGAAACAATTCTTATAAATAGCAAATAGCTAAAATGAGAACAAATTAAACTATTTTATTTCCACAATACAATACAATACGCGCATGCTCCAGTTATTCAACCTGTCATTTCGGTTTGGATAGGCCATATTTCGGGAAATATGCCCAGATTTAATTAATAAGCTGTTTTGCAAGAAAGTATTGCAATTTAGTAGTGATATTTAAATTTAAATTAAAACTCTCAAACCACCTACATTTTTCCAGAATATTTCTTGTAAAAACCATTAGAAAACAGTGGTACTAGCATGAAGAGATCGAGATAAAAAGGGGAAAGACTGATGTTAACAAAAAAAACGCAATTCTAATTTTTATGACTTCCTGGTTCTATTCTGTAAATTTCGCATTTTTATGGAATGTGTTTTTTATAAAATTGAGGCAATTTTTGCGCCACTATCTGCTCTAATTAAAACCTAACAATAACGCTATCTAAAAATCGAGTAAGATAAAAATAATAATGCATTTTTCGCTAAGTGGTTAATTTAGGGTATTTTTAAAATCTAAAATAAAATAACTGGGCGACCTTTAGGTATATAAAAGCTCAGCTTTGTTTTCTTTTACGTTATTAATACGCTGCTATCCATCGAGAGAAAAATGAAGAATTTCTGGTTCCCCTTAATTGTTGCATTGGCTCTATGGGCATCTGCATGCAGTAAGTGACCTTATTATTTATATATATTTACTCTATAAGCCAAAGCAAAAACTTGAAACTTTCACAAGTCCAACACCATTTTTTCCATTTTGTTTCATGAAAGTATATATTTTTTTATTCTGATTTATATGTACACATACACGTACATATAAAATACACAATGGCATGTCACAAATGAAGAAGTTTTTCGACGTTTGTACTAGACTTTTTCTAACATTATTAGTTTTTGAATATATTTTTACAAAACGGGACGAGCACATTCACTGAGTAACGTGGACATCACCATCAGAACTGACATCTTACGTTCAGCTTGTCAATGTGCTGTGCAGGGCACAATTTACCATACTATAAATATATATAAATACTAGATCCGCGAACGCCATATAAATATATATAAATACTAGATCCGCGAACGCCATGTTTATTTCACAAAAATATTATTTCAATATTAAAGTAATCATCTTGAAATGCTTGAGTGTAACGGTAAATAATGTAGTTTGTCGTAGCTCATTATTTTAATTTTTACAATCGGCATCGCAGTTGGCACCGGAACAAAAGAAAATAAAAAAAGATATATGTAAAAGAACAATACATTCAGATAAGGCAGATATAACGAAACACTCTGTGCAAAATGTCTCCATGCAACTGATGTGAATATTTATTGAAACTTTCCAGCCGCCCAAGACAATGTTACCGAAAGCGTCGACGAGGTTTTTATTCAGCACGTGCAATCTAAACTTTTCCTCGATAAAGATGGAAAATTAGTAAAACCCAAAGGAGTAGCCGCACGGTTCACTTTCAGTCAATTTGGCGCAGCAAAGGACTACAACTATGCAGTTTTGGTTTACCTCTCGGGGTAAGATGGGTCTGTTTTAATTATTACAAATGTAATATATCCGCGGTGCGTCCGTGTATTTGCTCGCTAGAAAACCGTAAAGGAAGTACAGTACCTCTTAGTGGTGTGCAGCTGGTTACGACATGAATTGGAGTTTTCTCTTCTTTTAATCACAGCCTGCATGTGCTGTCGTTGGGCATTCCCTTCTTCTTTCTTAGTAGTGTCCTGTTAGCATGTCCACCAGCGTTCGTAGTCGCGTAGACTGAGAGACCATTTTTAGCCTCAGACATTTACTCAGCTTGCACTTGCTTAGCGAGTCAGAGCAGACCATGACAATATTTCATTCCGCCAGTCTTGTCAATGTTTTTCGGTAGTCGAATAGCAATCCCTAGCTCATCTTCACAGGATACGAGCATGGACAGTCGCTCGACTGTAGCTGCGTTGTTGAGGTTCTCGTGAGCACACGACCATGTCGTATGGTATGTGTTTGAAATATATTGGCCTAGATCCCCACTGGCGCAGATATCTGTGCCCTAGGAGAGCTGCTAGCTCTTGTTCCAGTGCCTGTTTTGAACCCGTCCGTGTATCAGACTTTTCTCCCGCAGAGTCAGTAGTCCTTCATAGAGGGGCATCTTGGTTCCCGCCCGAGACAGAAAGCAGTTGTCGGTACGCCGTCTTGCTTCCTGTGTACCCGACTTCCAGTTTCATAGAACCTGCCATCTAAGGGCCGCACTGTGAACCTCAAGCCCCACCCTAACGAGTAAGGGCCATCACCATATGTAGCCCAACATCTGTACTCACCCTAGAGCTGTCCTGATACCTACAGAGTAGATAACGCGTGGTCCAGAATTTGAACTAAATTCAGTAAATCAAAGGAAGTCGATTAGTATTTGATACGTCCTTTTTGATGCTCAATTTTGTTCACAACTAGTCTTAAATGTCAATTTTTTATTCATGCAATCATGTCATCATCATGACGTTCCATTCATTGTTTTTTGTTGACAGGTTTTCACATTTTTTTCGAAAAATTACACTAAATTCTGTATTTCTGTGTTTAGCAATGGAGAGCACAAAATGAATTTACTCAGGTATCATAAATCAACGTTATGTTAAATGATCAAAGTAAATCAATTTTCCGAAGTAGATGTTTGTTAAATACCTTTAATTAATAAATAATAATCGATCCATACTTTGTCGATCCATACTTTAAGAATTGATATAAAAAAATAAGATTGATATTTAAAAAAGTAGTTGAAAAGGTTATATGTCAAATTTGTGACGCAATACATAAAATTGTTTATGATCATTTTTGCACAATGATTGTTTCGTTCGCAAAGTCGACTAAAATTCATCTGAAGTTAATGTACGACTTACGTTTATTTTCACACTGGGAAAACTAAGTCATTTTCTGACAAGTGCGAAAAAATATTTCCTTACCTTGTTACTTACTGTTCTCCGTTTTTCTATAGACATTAATTGGCTATATCTCTTGAACGGGTTGCAACACGGCCTTAAATTTTGCTCTTTTTAAGACGTGGACGACGTACACAAACCAGTGAAAAATGAGTCTGATCAAACCAAGGCGTCCATCTTTTTTTTAGATTTTCGACTGTTTTTTGGACATTGCTATGAAGTGTCCGAAATTTCAAGCCATCCACTTAAAATTTGACAGATGTATAGAGCTTAGCTCCGTAACGAAATCTATTGAAACTGGAGGGGCTGGGGGTCGAGAAGTATTTTTAAAAATCGAAAAACTGAACTTGCGGGTTATCGAGAAGAAAATCCTCCAAGACGGTATATGCGATCGAAAAAATTCTTTAACCAAACGACGCGCAAGATCTGAACCAAAAACTTTTATTCTTGATGATTTTTTAAAAATGTACAGGTTGCTTCGGTAATTTACAAAAAACTAAAAATTGAGCTCCCTTTATATTGATAATAGACCATAACTAGAAGGCTGTGATTCTGTTGTCAATACTTTCTGTTACTAATACTTTTGTATTCCAAAACGTCATAGGTGTGTCAAATATGCAGTCACCTACTTCAAAATTGGCAAGGAAGTAAAAGTCCGTACGCGCATCTAAAAAGTAGAAATTGAGCGTAATGAAATGTCACCAAATATATTTTTTTTAATTTTGAAAAATTTTCTTTGATTATTTTGTCTTCCAGAAAAACATGATTTTCCCCATTAACTATTCAACCGATCGGCAAAATTTTAAAGCCAGAAAATGCGGGAGATCCGAGGCTATGACTATTGTTTTAGGCATTTTTTCAATTGTGGACAAAAATCTAAAAGACCGCGAAAATTATACTTTTTGGGAATAAATTATTAATCAAAATTCGCAAAATATATAGTCAATCGGTTTAAACATGTTTATAGACCGCATGAAGAGCCGCAATTTTTGTATTTGCGGTTTCCGTCTATCACATACGCTGCTCGGGATATTTTTGAAAAAAACCATTTGAGAATCGCTGATTCTCGCGCCTAATTTAGACGCGATGACGTCATTGACTATTACGGCGGACTGCATAGTTTCAGTAAGAAATTATTTTCTCGAAAACCATTTACTACTTTGAAAAAATTGTTGGAGCAGAAAATGTTTAAAATCCAGGGCTAAAACCTCTGTCGATTATGCACAAAAATCAAAGATCCTGAAAATTTCCGTTTTCGTGGGTATATTATTAGCCGTTAATAAAAAGCTATAAAAAAGGAATAATTTGGTTTAAACAGTATCGTAAACTGCATCGAAAGAGTGCCAGGTTTCGTCGATCATACAGTGTGCGCGAGATATTAAAAAAAAATATTACAAATACCTGTTACTTGCGCAAATTACAACATTTATCAAAGTTTGCCGTCACTTTGACATTCGGCAAGACTTAAAAGATGCTTTATACCGGGTGTCTGCAAAACTAAAATTACATCGATTTTGGGAAAGTTCCATAGTGGTCCGCAGGAGCACTATAGAAAAACAATGCGTCCCTCTAGGACAAGAAGCCGCGAGGCGCCTTCTTTTTAAAATAAAAAGCTGCTATGCGCTACGAGCTACCAACTTGCCCCGCCCGCCGACGATTTTTCGAAAGCAATCTTGTTACTTTCGAAAATCGATGAAATCAAAATTTTCAAAAGTATTTGCGCTCGTATAAAAGTTTTATATCTCGGTAACGGTAGGTCCTATGAAATCGCCGTTGGTACAGATCACCGTCCAAAAAAAATTTTTTTTGTCTGTCCGTTCTCCGTTCTCCTTTCTCGTCTTTTGTTTTTTCCTGAATAACTTTCGAACCGCTGGAGCTACAAAATTGGAATTTTCCTCCTTTTTAACCCTCCACGAGGCACATTAGCTTATAAGACAGTTTTTTGGACCTTTCTATGAAATACGATGTGTTCGAAATTTGAAGCAATCGACTTCATATTTGCACATATATGCAGCTTTGCCCCGTGACGGATTCTATTGAAAATTGGGGGGGCTGAGGGGGTCGGGAAGTATTCTAAAAAAATAAAAAATCGCGCGTGTAAGGGTCTACAAAAAACATCATTTTTCAAAAACTGTTTACGAGACCAAAAAAATTCTTGAACCAAAAGAAGCAGAAGATACGGCTCTATAAACTTTTATTGGTGACAATTTTTCAAAAATATACGCGGGGTGCGCCGCAAATTCACAAAAACTGAAAAATGGGTCCCCCTATTATTGAAAACTGGTTATAACTGAAAGTCTGTGATTCAGATCTCACTTTCTTTTATACTGCGATATAGCCCGCATAGACAGCAAAAACTTGTGTATTTAAGGTTTTCATCTATTGTACAGGATGTTCCCGATATTCCGTGTTAAATGAGAAATGTGTTAAGTGTCCTAAATTTACAGATATCAACTTCAAGTTTAGCAGAGAAGTAAAAGTCCGTGTCCACATTTAAACTGTAGAAATTGAAAAAATTCATAGTGAAATCGTTATTTCGGGGGCTGTCAAGACGCGATGACGTCATTAATTATTACGGCGCACTGCATGGTTTCAGAAAAAACTTACCATTTACTATTTTCTTGGACCAGGAAACGGGCTATAAAGTCTGCTTCGAACATTGTTTGAATCATATACAGGGTGTGTCCTTTATGGGCAAAAAATCTAAAATATCCTAAAAATTTCCATTTTTGTGGGTAAATTATTGGCGATAAATGAAAAACCGTTAAAGATGGGATAATTTTATTGGAACAGTGTCGAAAAACGCGTGGTGAGATAGTTTCAGGTTTCGTCAATGTAACAATTAAGTTACATCGATTTTGCGAAAGTTCCATAGTGGTCCGAAAGAGCACAAAAGAAAAACAATGCGTTCCTTTACCACACGAAACCGCGAAGTTCTTTCCTTTTATAATAACAAGCTGCTTCGCGCTGCGCGCTACGCGCTACAAACTTGCCCCGCCTAGTGACGATTTTTCGAAAGCAATCTTGTTCTGACTGGTTCATGGGGCTCACCTTCCTTTCCAAAGCATTGTTGAAAAGATCACGATTAGCACACGCGAGCGATATGATTTTTTGACTTGCCGGTTTTTTTTTTCAGTCAGCCACTTGAAGTTAAGGGAAGTTGCGAAAAAGGCAGTCAAGTTGGCATCGGCAAAATCGAGACGGATGACAAAAAGCAATTATTCCACATTGACGAAAAAAATGTCTGGCAGAGCAGTTGTAATCCGAAGTTGTATATCGCTCCTAACGAAGACAAGACGGGTTTGATTTTGAAGGAAAAAGGGGACAGCATGGATGAATTCCAATACGTCACCGTAATGTAATAAATGTTATTAGACGTTATTTGAAATAAAGAATTATGAATGAATTTGTTATAGAGTGTTTTAGTCGATGTACAGGGTTTCCAGAACTTATAACAGCATACTCGACGTCGAAAATAAGCCCTAGTTACTTTCGTAAATCGATGAAATATAAAAATTTTATATCTCGGTAACGGTAGGCCCTAGGGGACTGTCGTTGGTACAGAAATAATCAGCGTAAAAAAAATTGTTTTGCCTGTCCGTTCTCCGTTCTCTGTTGCACGATTTTGCAATGATCACTTCCGAACGGTTTGATCTAGACGCTTCAAATTTTTTTACAGTCCACTAGGTTCATAAGATCTTTGAAAATGGCGGCGATCGGACATTTGTGAACGAGAAGATCCGCGAGATAATTTTCAAAAATGTGGTATATATGGTATAATGGTAATTGACGATAACTAGAAGTCTGTGCTTCAGTTGTCAGTTTCTTTCACTCGGTCATATAGTCCATGTGGACAGCCAAAACTTTTGTATTTAAGGTTCTCACCTATTCTACAGGGTATTCAAGATATTCCGTACTTTATGAAGAAATGTAACACATGGCTTAAATTTACAGCTATCGACTTAAAATTTAGTACAGAGGTAGAAATCCACACACACATTTAAACTGTTGAAACTGAGCTCATCAAACATCGCGAAGTATTTTTTGAAAATTTTTGATAATTTTTTTTTGCTTATTTTGTCTCCCAGAAAAAGAATATTCCTCGAAAACTATTAACCCGATCGGCAACATTCTTTAACCAGGAGGTGCTGAAGATCCGGCGCTATAACTTTTATTTCAAGTATTTTTTCGATTATATACAGAGCTTTTCAATTATAGACAAAAATATGAAAGAGCCTGAAAATTGTTCTTTGCCGTAAATCTAAATTTGTAGAAAATATGGATAAGTGTTCTAAACGGTATTGTAGGCCGTATCAAGACCTACAATTTTTGTATTTACGGTTGTCGTTTATCATACTCCCTGCTCGAGATATTTGAAGAAAATCCATATGAAAGTCACTTTTCTCTGGCTCAGGCTGTAACCTCTATTTCCGGTATTTTTTCCATTATGTACAGGGTGTGTCGATTATGCTCAAGAAATCTAAAAATCCCTGAAATTGCCATTTTCGTCATTAAATTATTAGCCGTTAATAAAAAACTATGAAACATAGAATAATTTGGTTTAAACAGTACCGGAAGACCACCAAAACGCTAGCCTGAGAGTTGAACATCAGAGTCTCAGCTTGTGCGCATTTTTGAAGAAACAAGGTATAGTCATAGTCATATAATCGAAGACCACCGCGCATCTCATTTTTCACCAACTGTCATCCAGACGTGCAATGGAAACAATATATATTTAACACCGCTTCCTCCAAACAGTACTCACTTGCGATTTTTGCACCGATTAAGAAAAAATAGCGACAAATTCTTAGAAAATGACGGGGAGAAAGCCGGTCTACTACTGTACTGACTTATGAAATATGTTGCATGAAAAAATACGAGGGATCAGAGTGGATTTGTCAGATAACAACGAAAGCCACGATGAACGTTACAAACAGTTGCATTTGCGAAAATCCATTCTCTAACTCTGATTTGGAAGACTAAAATTTGCATTATTTTTAAAATAATTGTACGCCAGTAAGTCATTGTTTAGAAAATCTTTATTTATGACGGAATATATGCTTGTTTGTCGTTTTCGATTCAAGTTTATAAAGTAATATTTTTTTTTCATGTCTATTTATTTAGTTTCATGTCCCAAATAAAAAAAAATTCAAGGTTTCAGTAAACCAAACGAAAGATCGCAACCTCTACATTGATTTTGGCAACGCGCATATATAAAAAAAAATCTTATCGCTAAAAGCGTCCATCCCGCAGCTTGCGTGGCAGCCACCCTGAGTGTAAAGTTCTGGTGTTGACCTTGGTATCCTCGCGACGAATACTAGGAGGTTCCAGATGGTCTTGGGGTTAACGCTCTTGGACTGGTCTCCAGCGAATTTTCATAATAAATATTATCGGTGGATGTTTGATTTAGGGTTGCCTCCAAATACTGGCCGGTGTCGGGTGTATAAGAATTAATTCCATAATCGGAATTCGTGGTTCTATGTTGTTGCTATAATTCGGTTGCGATATATTTTGGGGTTTACTTTTTGTTGGAGATGGGATGTTCCTGACGAAATATCCACCCAAATTTTTTATTCTGAATATTTAGAAACTGATTAGGTACGAATTCATTTCAATTAAAATTTAGAGGTTAATTTTTTTTATTTTACTTTACCTTTGAAAAAAGTAGGGATGTTTCTGATATGGAAAATTAGTATTTGGTCTCAATGACGGTTGTATTTTATTGAAAGTTAAGAATAGTTCCTCTAAAATGGTAATTGGAAACATAAGAATACTGATTAGGAAAACTAAGAGTATTAGTTCGATATTGACCGTAAAGAAAATTTTCTTCTTCGATGACGAGATCGATTGCCGCTTCTAAATTCCGGGAACTTCGTATCCTAACATTATTTTGAAGAATTCCAGTTAAGCCTGTAATGGAAGTCGTCCAAATTTAATGAATTTTATTTAGAAATTACACGGTGTTTCATTTATAATAGGTGTTAAAACTATTAGATCTTGTACCAAATAATTAAACTTAATGCCCTACTTCACAACTTACTCATGATTGCAAGTACGGTAAAGTTATCATGAGCGTCATAACCTTCGCGATAAAAATTATTAATTAAATTTGCACAATTATTTAGAAAAATAGTCAATGTATTTTCCATCATATACGACATAGAGTCTGAAGTAGATAGTTTACGCCTATATTTTGATTGTACTCGGCAAATTTATTATCAAAATTGTAAAAAAATGTTACATATAAACCTGGCTTTTTTGAATTTCTATGCGGCGTAAAATATAAACATTTAAAACAATTAAAAACTTAAATTTTTCATAATTGTTAGTCACTGCGCCATGTTACCTGACACCTAGTGATTTAAATAGAATTCACTGTGAACTATGGAAGTAATCTTTAATTTAATTAATTTTTTAAATATTCATACAAAAAAAAATAGAATGAAAAGTACATTACAGTACATATAGTAGAGATATTTGCTCAAAAAATAAATGGATTTGTCGATGTAACAAAAAAAAAGTTCCCTATTGTTTTCCCTGGTTACTTTTTTGAGGCGACACAGCTTGGACGGAAATAGAGGTCACCGATCTAAAGCATTTAACTTCCGCATTCATAATTGTAGGCAATTTTGCTTTATTGGGATCCATGAATATTAGAGGTCAATTAGATTGTGCTTATTAGGTAAATATACAGAAATATAATGAAAAAGTGCCAAAAATTATTAGTTATATGAAATTTTGCAGAGCTTTTGGATTGGCTCTTCGGGGACATGATGAAATGAGATGAGATGAGAAACTTCCGAAAATCCAGGGCTATTTCATGTACTGATTAATTTTTCAGCCAAATTAGATGCAACTCTACCCAAATAGCACAAGAACGTCCGTAAAACGTCCTCGGGATATCTGACGGGACATAGCGTATATCCTAGGGATATACTGTTTCAGCTAAGGGACATCCTTAAGATGTCTCAAGAATATACGATGTTACCAATTGGAACGTCCACAGTATATCAGATACGTATGTCCGTAGGATGTTTCTTAGGACATGCTAAGGATATCCAGTTCTACTAGTTGAGATATCGTTAGTATATCCGACTGTGAGGATATAGGATCTTATATAGATATACCAGTGGACCTTACTTAATTATTAGGTTATTTCCAACAGCCTTTGAGAAATACTGGAAAGGTAATGTCCAGTAGTCCAATTGCTTGTACGACTACAAAAATTCAATCCCAGTATTTGGTACTCGCGTATGACGAAATTAACCTATCGGGTTGGTGAAGTTATCACTGGTGTAGCAGGCAAGATTTGAAATGCACAAATTTTTTACAATTAATATTTAATCTTTATAGAATATAGCAAAAATATAGAACAACCTAATCTAAAATATCTTAAAAATAGAGTAAGATCTTGAACTAAACTCTAAAAGAAGAACTGATAATTGACAGATTTTCTGTCATTCTTTGATGAAAGTAGCTCTTTTCAGTCAAGCAGCTATTAAATTCTCATATTCTTTCGATGTTTGTGATGTGTTTGCCTTCTTATCCGCATCTGAAAATATTTTAGTTTTGAGAAAGACGGGTTTTATATATCTGTACTTTATAAAAAAAAATAAAAAACGAGACTGGTATCTTATATGTTTAAAAAATCCCTACATCCGCTTTTTAAGAAAAGGCTTGATTTGACGCTGATAGTACTCATAAAAATGATCTTAGATGCTAATCTCCACGATGATGTAGGTATACATTTATGTATTTCATTTCATTAAATACAAGCCTCATTAAACTCTCATCGGTAAAATCTCTTTCATGAGAGTAGGTACTATCGTGCGCAAGAAAAACTAGATCAAATATGACTTTTCAGTTTGACAGCAAAGGCCTATTGTAATGCAATATAATATTTTTTGTCAACCAAAAATTTTCCTAGTTTTTCTTGCTCGTGACGGTACCTACTATCACCATGAAAACAAGCCTTAAAAAATAGGAAAAATGTTTTCATAAATTAGCCGAAAAACCATTTTAATACGAAAATTGTACTTTATGAAGAGTGATTCCTAAAATGAATACTTTGTTTTTGGGGGGTGATTCTTGCATCAATTTTAATAAAAAAATATACTAACTATATTATATAACTAAAACATTGCTTACTTAAATAAAAAATATTTTAGTTTGTATGCCTAAATCTAACTGGTCAACAAACACGAAGAGAAAATGGATTTTAGTTTTGTTTTCAAAAACAAAGCAATAAGATACGAAAAGAAGTCTAAAATCAAAAAAGATTTGTAGTCTGAAAGGTACATTATAGGTATATAGGCTACAAAAATGTCACTTTTATCTTAACTCGTACTTTGTTTATATTACATTTACGTCCTTTTATTTCTAAAAAAACATAATACCTACTGCACAGCA